GGTGTGCGCACGAGGGTCTGATGGAAAAAGCCTGGCAACCTCAGCTTCAGACACACCTACGCACATGCACACCCGCACACGCACACGAACGCACGTGCACGGGCGCAGGCGCGAGCACACCCCATAGGCGAAGTTGGGGCCACCTTTGCGTCCGCGAGCCCTGTAAGCACAGATAGCTTTAGGCTAGAAAGTGCACAAAACATAGTTGATCAGCGTTTTGCACTACAAAGTCCTGACGTTTGAAGAAGCCATATAAGCCCAGGTGGTGCTAGAAATGTCGCCCGCAAGCCGACCTTTTGAACATCACCAGCACGTATGTATTTACTTGAAAAAACGTCAAAAGCAGAGGAGGCATTTACAAAAAATGGCTATTGTAAAACTTGATACTAAACTTGATCTCTAGGGAAGAACGTATGCAAAGGAGAGAGGAAGTTTTGAGGTAGCATTTGTGTCGAGCACCATTGGCATCACCAGAGTATGAGCAGCATTGTTCATAATCTACGTATATTTTGCAAAGACGCTGTAATTTACAGTGTTTTGCGCCTAGTCATGCACCAAAGGACTTGCATCTTTCCTGCTGAGACTCTGCTGATGCTAATGATGCTCGACATTGCTCGACCAAAATTTGTCTTCAACATTGCTCTCCATTTTCAATGTTTTTTTCTACAGGCTTTGACGCTATAAACTTCACAGTTGCCATTTTTTGTTTTTTTTATATCTGTTTTTGATGTTTTTTGTCGAAGCCACATTGAGCCCTGGTGATGCTAGAAATACGGGTCGGCGGCATGGAGCGCGTCTCCATATCCAGCGATGCCGTATGGTGTAGCTGATCGCCTCTAGCTTTAGCTATGGGGGCGTGCTCCCGATGCCGGGGCCCCCCCCTTACGGTGTTTTGTGAATCGAGCGAAAAAAATTGCGCTCTCGCCTGCGTTTCGAGCCGTTTTTGCTCCTGGAACAATTCCAAAAAGGGCAAGACGAAAAATGTATAAACATGTAGCAAAATTAGGCCTGTTTTGGGGAGCTTGGGATGTCGAAAAAGTCGTCAAAAAACAGGTAAGTTGGACAAACAATTTGATAACTGGAAAGGGCCTTACACGGACAGGTTTGAACCCTTTTTTGGCTTGCGCCAAGGCGCAGAACACTGTAAATTACAGTGTTTTCACAACTTTCGATCTAGAAAAAAAACATGTCGCAGCGTTGCCAAAACTGCGTAAATATCGACGCTTTTTGGGGCGTGGTGCGCGAAATGTTGAACATCTCGCGTTTTTCGAGAACACCTCGTAAATACCGTGGTTTTGGAGCACTCGATAGCTCAAAACCATCGGTATTTACGTGGTTTCCTGGCGCAAAAGCACCAAAAACTAGTCAAATAGCGTGGTTTTGGTGCACCGTTGAAGCCTCGAGCAGCAAAAAACATTGATATTTATAGTGTTTTCTATCATTTTGGTGCCTTTAAAAAGACCTCTCCACCGCCAGCCTGAAGGATTTTGCTTGGTCTCTTTTTGCGCACGCCTCAAACGTGTTTGATATGAGGTCTCGGGGTCACGCGCGCGACGCATTCGAAAGGAACAACGACCATAATAACCAAGCAAGAAATAGAAAGGCAACGGACAACCGCAAAAAAAAAACAAATCAGAAACTGAACACGATAGGGAACACTCGCCCAACCGGCATCGCCGGTCTGCGAAGCTCTACACTAGCAAGCTAGCTCGATAGGGTCACTGGAACGGCGTCGCCGGATAGAATGGGCTAACGCCCGGGTGCCGCCGACACCCTATTTGGAGCAAACAAGACAAAGACACCCGCAAAGGAAATACACAGGCAGCAAAAGGAACATCAAAAGGAATGAAAAGACAAGGAAAAGGAATCCAAAGCACATAACAAGGAACCAACAAGAGACTTATAAAAGAGGGATGAAAAGGAAATGAAAAGGAATGAAACAGACATCATAATCAAAAGGAAGTCAAAAGGAAGCAAAAGGATATCAACAGTTTCAATGGGGCAGGGAGCGACTGCTGACAGTTTCTAGTCACCCCCAGGCGCCGCCCGGCTTAGGCGTCAGCTAGGCAGGGGCCGGCGGATAACATTCAACTATAGTTTGAAGAGAACTTGAGAATTGACGGCTTGACATCTATGGATTGAGGAACCACGTGACTAATTGACTCTAGTTGATGTCAAGGGTCAAGAAGCACCTAAAGTATTGTAGCAGAGCAGATGGCGTGAGATTGCCGAACAATTTATGTTTTTCTGCCAGATCCTAAGTTGCCGGAAACCATCCGTAGCACCTTGCAATTTTTGTCAGGCCACAAATCCAAGGTGAGATCTTTGCACAACTTGTGACTCAAGTTGTGCATCTTCAAAAGAGACTTGAACCAATCTTGAATGCGAAAGAGGTGGATGTGGCCAACGAGGGAACTTCCCGCACCACAGTGGTGAGAGGAAATATGAAACATTTGGATGGCTTGGGACCCCCAACCAATGGTTGTTGGTCTATGCGTTTTTTCTTCCAAGAGAGAGGGTCTCCCAATTTTGATAAACGTATGATACGGGTCGGACCCTTCTCCACCTCTTGGTAGCGGTCCGGACCCTTCCCCAAAGCCTTCCCCAGCGGTCCGGGCTCAGAGATTGAGACACTGGATTCCACACATGAAGATCCCACCGTCACTTGCACCTCCCATGAAACACGGTTTGAAACAGAGGTGGCTCCGCAAGAACGGAAGACCCCAGGTTTCAGTCCTTGTCTTCCTTTCTCCAGTTGGGATTTTAGGCTATGAGTGGTATTGGATCCTGAGGATCCCTGGCGGAGTTTGTGCCCAAGATCACCGCCTTGCAGAAGAAGGCGCTGCTGCGAAAAATGGTTCGTTTGGGTGATGGTCACATTGGCTGGTCCACGTGGCGTGTTGCGGCGGTATGTGGCGGTTGCATTGGATTCATTGGGTGTTTCTTTCGGTTGGGGAGGGTCGTCTTGTGGGTTGAAGCATGGTGAAGAAGCATTCGGGGATTACCTGACCAGGCCTACTTGTACCAGGTGGTAGGCCACTTCGAGACATGAAGTGCCTCACATGTTCAGGGGAGCCAGATTAATTATGAGCACCTGTGAGTCATTTACGAAGTTGCGTTCCTTCTGTCTGAGGAAGATGGGACAGCGACAATTGAACTGGCCATACCGACCATGTCAGCTTTCAAACTCATTTGACACCTCGACACTTAAATGTAGACTCTTAATTGATTAATAACTACCCCCGCCGACATGGATCGAAAAAATATCTTAAGATACGCAGGGGTTACCAATCAAGCGTCTACATGACTTCCACAAGCGCCCAACTGTCCAATCGGCCGCAGCCCAGGCGGAAGATTTGCAGAAGCGGGACTTGAAGGTGTTGGAGGAGGGCCGAGCTCAATCGATGAACCGGTAAACCGTTGGCTTTTTGTTTTTTGATCCTTCTGCAAGTAACCTGTCAAAAATGGACTATCTTAGGCTTCTAAGAGGGTCTGCACTGACCTACCCCCTTGAATCTGAAGGAGGATGTTTTTTTGGTTGGTGCCTGCCAAACTGCCAAAGAGGGGAAGATCTAATTACTGGAGTCCAGCGAGGTCGACGATGGGAGGAGGACCTCTGAGTCAGACACGAGGCGATTTCGGACGAGGCGAGTTCGATTCCACGCCAGAACAGTGCTTGGAGCTTTTAACCCATTGAATCGATCTCAACCGATCTACACATTACTTCTCAATTCCCAAACACTCCATGTATGGTATATTTACCTACATTGGGGTGGTTTGAGGGGTCAATGTAGGCATATATGACAGACATGGAGTGTCTGGGGTTGGGATAGACGGTAGACATCCAGTGTTTGGGCTTCCACCGGTCGATGTCAAAGCCAAGGTCACAGGTCACAGACGAACCCGTTCGGGGCGTCCCCCTTCTCGGTGCATGGCCACTCCGAGAAAGGACCTCCAGCCTGACCTGGAATTGGGGCTGTTTTGCATTTAATTCAGCTGGGAATCTGGGAACTGTTATTCTGTTCTTCACCTGCCACACCAATCATCCAATCTCTTCGACCTGAGGTCAACCGAGTCAACCCCCCAGGTGAGTTGCTAGGCCTGGGGGTGTCTGCCTCCGCCTTCCGATTTCGTGGGTTCGGTTCGGAAAATCGACGTTCTACCCAGTCACAGGGGCGAGAGGACGACCGGGGGTGAGACCGAAATGACCAGCCGCATGGGGTTCCTGTTTCCTCTCACCACTGTGTGGTGCAGGAAGTTCCCCAGTTCGCCGTATCATGCCGTATCCACCTCTTTCTTTCCCTACAAGTTCAGTTTGACCCTCAGGTGCTCAGGCAGGTCATTTTTACATCTGTTGAATGTAGTCGTGTGAACTTGTATGACCAACTCCAGTAACATGAGGTCAATGACCTGGTTTCGGTCCGACCTCCGAGATCTTGGGCATCGGTCAATGGTGGCCGTTCGGCTCAGAGCGGAAGACATGATCCTACAAGCATAGCAGCTGACATAGCAGAGGGTTTTGCTTAGAGATGTGTGATGATGTGTGTGCTAATTCCCAATTCCTTTTTTACATATGTTTCTTTTTCATTCTTCTTCCTTAAGCAACTTCAAGAATATCCTGCGATTCAACAAATGTGGATGCCAAGCAGCAGATAGTGTGCATGATGACCTGCGTTTTTTCAGCACCGCGGTAAGCGCAGTCTGCAACTGGTGGTGTGTGGGGGTTGTTTATGTTCTTACGTGCTCTTCACTACCGGGAAGGTGAAGAGACCGATTTCTATGCTTCGGAAAGATAGGTAGATCGATCATGGCTTACGGCTTACGGGCAACTCTGCAAGCGGATCTATGAGATACAAGTAGCTGAATCAATATCTAAGACTAACACTCCTCAACTGACTAAAGAGCCCTGCGCACAGGACATAGAGCAATCCAACGGCTGCGATCCTGTTCGGATTTTGTTGAGTGCTCGCTGCCTAGTCCATGCTTTCTCTCGAACGTGGTGTGCATTACGTGACTTCTAGTTGCAGGTCAGACCTGTCCCACGTACGCCACTGGCTGCACCGGCTGCCGGTGGACACCATGGCGCGACCACCGTGGCGGCCACCGGTGGCCGTGGCGCTTCTGGCCGCCGTGGCCGCGGAGGTGTGCTGGCCAGGTGGGGATCGACACAAATCAATGAAAGCTTCATTGTTACTAGTTGCGATGGCCTCCACCTAGTAGCTTCTAGGTACTAGAAAGCTTTATGAGTGGGGATTGAGGGGGTTGCAGATGTTTGCACGAAAGTCTTCCGTAAGCCTTTTTTGTGACTGACTCTGGAAATCCATAATGTTCAGAACTCTTGGGGGTGGCATCAGCCTGAGCGATCATCTGCCCGCCAGAGCCTCTGGCGAACTTCTCTCAAGCTGGCTATGGCTGGCCAGCCAGTCCCTGCCGCACGTGGCCTGGCAGTCCTCGGATGGGAGGGACGGGTCTTTGCGCCTCGCGAAGTATTGAGTGAACTGTGTATTTTAAAGGATTGACATCCGCAGGAGAATGCCCATTCCCTGGCTATGCCTAGGGTCTTGTTTATTTTCTCGAAGTGGGTCACTCCCCAAACCTGGAAAAAAGATGTATACCAGGACCTTCAGTACGTGACCCTTTGATATTTTAAAGGAGAGGTCGGTCTGTACAAGGGGTCACCTGGGCGCCCCAGATGGGGAAAACTCCGCTGACTCCCGGGGGTTTAATGCTACCTTCTTCTTAGGCGCCACAACGTGTTTCTACAGTTGCTTGGAACTGTGTTTTTTTTTGTTGTTCAACCCACAGTGCAACTGCTTTCAGCTCATGAATTACGACTCAGGCTTTCGGCTTTCAACAGTTTTTTTAAAGGAACGGGTTTGCCGGTTTGCCGCATACGAATGAGTTTTATGAGATTTGCTTGACTTTCCAATAATCCATTTACATACTCCATTGTGGTTTCATGATGGTTGTGGTTTGACCATTGGCTCTTGAATCCCTATTTGCACAGCAACCAATTCTGTCTAGGCAGATTCCTTGCCGCAGCCTGATTCAGGATTCCTTGCCCTGATTCAGAAACTGGATTATTAACTGGCTGCGGCGAGGAATCCTGAATCAGGCTGCGGCGAGAAATCCTGAATCGGGCCGTGGCTAGCTCCTGCAGTAGGAGCTTCAGATTTTTCGCCGTTTTGGCGAGAGCTAGAGGTTCAGCCAAACTGTTCATAAGGAAGACTGTGCAAGTGATTGATTGGTCCAGGTGGCACGGTGCGGGGATTGGACGGATTGCAAAATGTAGACTTTCTTGAAAAGGCGCGAGACAATGCGAGACAACGCGAGACATGGCGAGACATCCCCGCAAGCAACCTTTCTATCCTGGCGGAAGATGACGGTGTACTACGCGAGACACGCGAGACATCCGCCAGACTTCGCCCGTGGACCCCGCGCGAGACATTGCGAGACATTCGCAGACCACCGCTGCAACAGTCCTGTCAGCTCCATCGCACTCTCGCCCTGTAATTACTGCCGCAACAGCAGACCACAAGACTGCCCCCCAAGCCGCTGGCATGTGGCGCTCCATGAAGATCTGAGCCGGTGCAGTCTTCAAGGATGTCTACGTCGGATTTCCAGAGCTCCGCCAAAAATGCAAGCTGCTGCACTCAAAGGGCGCAATGGATGCCTAAGTTGGTTCAAAAACCAGTGGGTTGGGCACACGGTGCGTGGTTTTCTAAAAAGCGTCAAGGCTGGCAACGCCCATTTTCCTTTCCGATTCTCATGGATGAAGCCAAATATGGAAACAAAGTCCAACTTCTCACAAGACTTCATTGTGCTCCAGGAGTTGTACCAAAAGAAATGCACAGTCCAATCATTCAAGCCATCATTGGAGAGCTATCTCTTGCTGATGTGAAGGAACTGGTTGGGAAGTTCATCGAGGAGGATTTCTCACCTGATCTGGAGATGCACATTTGGATCCAGGGGTCTTGCCCATCAATGAAGCACACACAATTGGTGCAGTCCTTGGCAGGAATGGATCCGTGATCTTGTCGTTGCTGGAGAGAACAGTGCCCAGATTTTTGGCCCAGATTTTGAGCCCCGAGCCTACGTGCATTTAATTAGTACATTGACGGCCATGCACTGTGCGCAAGTGAAAGTGAAGGTGGAAGACCACACGTCCACCAACTATTTTAGATCCCCATCCGGCCAGTCTCCGGGCGGATCAGGGCGGCCTCTATTCTCTTCGATCTCCAAACCGAGGTTTGCTGGAGTAGGCCCTGGACACAGTGACGGGAAGTACATCTACACTCCTACGGTCGGAGCTGCTCGGAGTCAGGTTGGTCCCTTCGAGGTTGGTCCCTCTGTCGCTTTTGAAGCCCCAAGGGGTGGTAGGTATAGATGGGGTGTACAACCAAGTGTACAACCAATGGGTAAATGGTACCTGGCCACCCCTCAAGTTCCCCAAAGGACATCATTGGCTTGGACTCGACCTGGTTGATGAGGTTGACCTGAGCGAATTGCTGGTAAATGTTGGTGGTGCCGAAACTGGCATCTTTTTGACTTGTTCCCGGCTTCATGCAGACAGGTCCCCAAGCACGGGATGAACCAACTTGGGGCGATGGGTTTTTCACCTCAGATGGTTTCGGAAGAAGGCCTGTGGGTCATAGGGAATTCATGCGAATTGAATGCGTTTTGGATCTTCATGGGCCAGACATGGTCATACTATGGCCACATTATTGGTACCAGGCTCGTAGCATGAAGAGTGACACTGGTTTCATGCGCTTGTAGTTGTACGAGATTCGTTTAATCATTTCGCCAATTGTTTGTTTTGTCATTCGGTGTTTGGTCTGTTGGGACCAGTTTGTGAACCTACAGAAAATGCGATCACCATGTGAGGTGAAACCTCCTGGTTCGGTTTGATTGTATACCGAGCACAGGAAGATACCCAAACGGTTTTGTTTTCCGTTGAAGAACATCTATGCCAGACATTTCCCACAAACGTGTCCGAGATATTTGTGCGTAAAGGCTCATAGTGCTTCGTAGATGCATAGGCCGCTTCGCACAATTTCGGAAACAACTTATAATTTGAGACACAGTTGCTGCAACTGAAGATGATTCATTCCTTAGCCATGATGCACCAACTACTCAATGTTGTAAGCCAATTTCTATCCAAACTCCGACTGCCTACGCCTGCACCAGTAACTTAGCTATACGTCGGGTTTAAGCAGTGGCAGGCGCAACCTAGTGTCAAAGCTAGAGGCGGAGTGCAGCTCTTGTCGTTGCCCTACTTCAGGGTATGCCTCTAATGTTTTCCTGGCCGTTGATTTCGTGCATTCCCCCGTTGGCCTTCAAAGCCGATCAACCATGGTTGACCTGTTTTTGTAGTCTAAAATCCTTAGTAAGCTCTTTTGTAAAACAATGGTTGTCGGGTTCCGGCCACCAACGGAAGAACCACTTTGGAGTCACGGTGACGGCCAACATGTCGAACTCGCTGAGGATTTGGCAGCGCTTCGGCGATTTCGGGCGGGCTTGGAATGGAGGAACTGGTGCTAGTCGATGATTTCTGTGATCATAAAGGGTCCGTCCCAAATACTACTATGGCTTTTTGAGTTCAGTTCGTGTTTGAAGTTCTTCCGGGTACAAAAGATAGTTGGACAAGACAAGGTTGGTCTTGTCTTCGGTTCAAGATGTCAATCGTGTTTGAGCCAATGCCGCATTGAAAGAGACAGCCATTTTCCGTACCTGCATTTTGGTCTGAACCACATGCGCTTGTGATCGCATTAATTGACATTAAACGTATTTGTTTTTCACTATGGGCATTGAGGTACCAAAAAAACAACATGTATGTGTGTGCATGCAATATCCGCTGCCTCAGGTGCCCTTCCATGCTCCCATGTTCCCTCCTGCTGGACCTACCTGTTTCAGCAGCACAACTTCGGTCCGATTTATCCCCAAATTGGAAAAACTGTGTTCCGGGGCCCGGAAACCCCCAAACTCCGGCCATGGATCCCCCCAATATATATATATATTTGCAGTCAACTCCATTGCTTTAAGAGTCACCTTTTTGGGCCTCCTGGTCGGGAGCGCCGAACACCGACCAAACACACCATCTTCGGCGCCGCCTTGGCTACACGCCCGTGGACCGCCGAACCGTCCGGTCGAGTCGAGCGAGGTCTGGAACGATCAGAAGTGCTCCAAGAATGTTCCCGTGGCACACTTGCGGGTCGCACGCGTCTTCGAGGTGCGCGGCGCGAGATCTTTCTGGGGAGATCGATCAAGATCCCGCGGGGCCCGGCAAGAACCCTGCTCTGAAGAGCAGGGCGAATGCAGACACCATAAAGAAAGGGGGATTTGCGCGGCAGCAACCCGTTTGGGGGGCGTGTGAGTGGGTGCAGTCACTCATCGTTCTTCAATGTTCTTCATTTGGTATCTAACGACTTCGCTGGCCTCTACCCTCCACATGTTCAAAAGGAGAAGACTGTTGAGCGAAGTATCCAATAGCTCCACCCTCCTGCAGATTGCACTGGAGAAAACTAGCATATGTTCGTCTAGTTTCCAGCGGTCCAGGTTCAAGAGCACTTGGATTTGAGTTGTGGTTCATGTGTTTTTTCCCCGGAGTAACATGGATGTGGTGATTTTCAGGGTCCATGTTAGTCTGGGGGACATCAAGCGCCTTTTGTCAGACCATGGCTGCAGTTGTGGCGTATTTCCATGGGCGGCCTTCCAGGAACAGGTGGAGGGCCTCGCGCTCTTTCCGCCGAAGATCCTGGTGGTGGCCTCCAGGCCAGGCCACGCCGTGCCCGACACCGGTGGTTCTGGTGGTTTTGGACCCGTGTGACGTACTGTGACCGACGTCGTGGCCATGGTTTTTTCAGTGGATTTCAGGAGAGAACATGCTCTGAACATGTTCTTGTTTCGGAACCTCCCCTGCTGTGGGGCTCACAATGCCGATGCCAAAAGCCAGGAGGTCCATTGGACTGGGGGATACCTGGATTTGGACAACCATTTGAACATGTTTGAACCATTTGTCGGCCTTTACAACAAATCCAAGTCAACAATTGGAGGTCGAAGGTGCTTCAGCTTTGGCCTTCTCCCGAATTTCGTGAGGTTTTTTGCGGTTTCCCACATCGGGTCCTACTATTCGCTCCATCGCGAAGCATCCACAGCTTTCGCTGTGAGCCCTGGAAAATCCAGGTGGATCATGACGACAGCAGGTGGGATAAAAGGAGTAATTGGAAGTTTGGGGTAAGATTAGAATGATATAATAACTCGCAAATTTGGCTAATTGATGTGTTCATAGCTCTCCAAAAGCAAAGTATCCTGGTGCACCAACATAGCAAAAAAATAGCAATCATCTTCAACGGTCTTTTTGGATGTTTTGGGCTTTAACCCTCCCACTCCCGTCCACACGAAAAAAGGTGCCCTTGGAGACACTCGACCTGGACACGTACTTTCGCACTTTCACTCCCCGTGTTTCTCCGGTCACCGGGCAGGACCTGGAACATGCAGAACCGCAATTTCTGGAGTCGTCTTCGGTGGCCCAGCGAACTTCGGGGTGGAAGGCGAGCTCGTCCTCCAGAACTGGAACTTCTATGGAGGACTCCGGATCCGGACTTCAAAGGAGGTCTTCTACTATGGAGGGTTGTATTCGGAAGAACCGGCAAGGATGCCGGCCACAGAAGGTGTGGTGTGGCCGCACAGAACAAGAACAGCCAAAGTTGCAAAGGCTGTGATTCCTTAGACGGGGTGGCTTAAGCTTAAACACCCCCCCGCTTGAGTGTCTAATCAATCCCTTAACATGATTTAGGGATGTCCATTCTCCTGACTTTTGGTTCTGGTGGATGCCTAGTTTTGTATACCTGGTAACCTGGCATACCTCCACTTCAACTTCTCTTGTGAGATTTCATCCTCGTATTTATGTGTCAAAGCTATCAGCACAAATATGCACGAATGGTTCGCATCATGGTTCGCATCATGTGACACATCCATGGAACCCCTCTGCATATGACCAACGGATGCCGCGGGACTCAATAACACTCAGCCGAAGTATCAAAAAGCCGTGGTTCTGTCCTCGTTCTACCATCGCTTCTGTCCCACAGCTTCGCGATCGGATCTCAGGTTCTACGATGCGGGCAAGATCGGGAGCTCTGCGGACGCTCGCGTTCTGTCCTCGCGCTGCGAAGGTTTGGGCGAATGAAGGGGGTGATCTGTGGTGATTCTGATAGGACCGATCGGGGGCAGGTGTTCCAAGCTGGACCCGAATCCGATTCGGAGGCGTTTGAGTCGAGCCAATCCAGGGCTGGCGTTTGAGATGTTTTAAGGGACCAAGGAGTGTTTAGGGCGTCTGAGTGGTAGGTCACCACGGCAACAGGCCCTCATGGTTTTGCCACATAGAGAGAGTCACGGGCGGAGTTGGAGCTGCAAAGAGCATGCGCTCGATTCATGTCATTTCTTTTGAGTGCGAGGGTTGCCGGGATGAGAATTTCATTTCTTCATATTTCTTCATGTTTCGGGTCGTAGTCCTGGTCTCGCTTTAGGGTGCCCCGTCAGGAGGACAGTATTCTCCCGGTTCCATCCGGTTCCTTCGAAGCAAATCCATGGCGACCGGGTCGCATGGTCGCATGGTTCGGCTCATCCCTCACGGTCGACTCTTTGGTTCGGTTCCTTTCGGCTCAGTCACGACTGCTGCGCTCGGCAACGCCGTCTCAGGACTCTCGGAAGGAGCACTTGTTCGTCCGGACCATTGCCACCTGGAGCTGTTTCTAAGGGTAGGCACTCAACATGTTTCAAAGGCACTCAACAGGTTTCAAAGGCACTCAACATGTTTCAAAGGCACTCAACATGTTTCAA